GATGAAATTTAACAGCTGATTCAGTGAGATATACTTTAACCCTAACTCTCCACACAAGTTTGAAAGTATTTAATATGTTAAACTAGCTAAATAAGGCACAACATATATCGACCAAAATTATAAAGCAAATTACAGTTTATGGATTTTGGTACTTTTTATTAAGCAAATTTCAAAAGAAAATAAATGTTTGTGTTGTTGAATGTAAAAGATTTGCAGGAATTTAAACTCACTTGAACTTGCCAAGCCACGAATCAGCTATGATGGCTCCGAGGATGGGTGTCAGGTAGCAGAGAGCCACGAAGGTATGGTAAATGGTGGTGGCAAAGTTATCATCCCAACCCAGAAAGTACTTAAAATACAGCACCAGCACAGCTGCAGACAGCAGAGGAGGAGGAAGGAAAGATGGCAGGAGGTACAGATAAGAGGGATGGATGCAGAAAAGGGAGGAAGAACTATTCAGGCCACTTACATAAGTGAAAGCAGCAATAAAACTGTGTAAAAATACACAAGTAACGCTCCTGCATTAAAAATGAAGGTACATAGGTATGATGCAGACTCTTAAAATATTTGTATCAACTCCAAACAACTAACTCACCTCGCATGCCATAGTAGGAGAAACGCTCACAGAACTCATTGACCACAATGAAAAAAATGCTTATTGGGTAGCCCAAGATGGTAGCCTGTAAGAAGGAAGGGAAAATGCTAACAGTGACTGTGGAAGCATTTATCTGCAAGTTCTGAAAATAAAACTTACTGTGCTGTATATACAGTACAAACCCATATAATAAAGGGCTTTTATTCTTTAACCAACCACTTGAGTGCCTGGAATGCATGCCTTGATGATAATTTGGATTTTTTATGATTTTGTCAGTACAGATGGATGAGTGCATATTTATTCCTTTTTAAAATTCAGTCCTGTATAATAAAGGATGAACTTACACATCTTTTCTGTGGTGTCCTCAGATCATCATTCTTGCCTGTAGAAAAAAGTTACCATTCATTATATACTGATACCGATATTATTAAATGTCCAGTAATGTTATATGTAACCAACTGAATGATAATCACTGTGCAAAAGATGTAGTACACTGGTTAATAAATGTTTGTCCTGAAATTTAAACCTTAAGCAAGTATCTTTTGATTGTGAAAAAAAAAAAAATCCTCTAAAATTTGTAGGACTCCCAGTCACATGGCTCCCACCCAGACTGGGACTCACCTGCCATGGCTGCTGTGTGTGTGTTTCCCACTCCCTTCTCCAACTGAGTCCTTCAGCAAAAAGAAACAGAGAGACAAGTGACCCCTGTCTATATCCCTGACACAAAGACTAACCCGAGGCCAGGTTCACATCTAATCTTCCATTAAACCTTTCCTGTTACGCCCACTGATGCTGGACTGTGGATCACATGAACTGTGAACAGGGCACCACCCACCTTCCAAGTCAACATTTTTGTCAACCTCTCACCTCCTTCAGTGTGTACGTGTTTGTGTGTGAGGGAGTCTTGCCTTACAGATAAGGATGATTGGCCATATCAGCTGATAAACATGGCAGATCAGTTATTATTGTTTTGCAAACTCAGTCTAACGTGTCATTATTATTAGCCTGCAGATGCATTGTATTTGAACTCAGACTGTTGTTAAATAGATGCAATGTAGTTTCATTTTGAAGTGTAAACACAAACTGGATGAACAGATACATGTTTTCACCAACCAATTTTCAAAATCATATTTGAAGCCAGAAATGACACATATATCCTTACTCAATTTGTACAATGTCAACTAAAATTCAAACACGTATTATCAGTTGTATTTGTACATATTGGTGTCTTTCCAATATGGTATATTTTCCTACAAAATAATGCATTAAGAATGTAATTTTTGGCTAAAAAAACAAACAGAAAAATGTTAAAATAGACAAGAAGTGCAAACTGGGGCAACTTTTATATGACAAGAGTAGTGAATCTAACAATAAGAAATAAACTATATAAAACGGTTGTTTAGAGAAATATCAATCTGAAATTATGTATTTCACCAAATGAAGACTCACAAAAAGAGACAGCAGAAAACACTAGGACTCACACCAGACGCGATGTTTACCATCCCAAACTAGTGGCACAGTTGGGGTGTGCGCCCATTATCCCAGCAGGGCACAACATACTGTATGTGTGTGTGTATAAGGGAGATATGGTGGGGTGCTCTGTCAGTGATAGGTGGGATTAGCTACTGTCTTACATGACACCGAACACAGCAGGGATTTTACAAGAATCAGCATCCTGTCACTGGTGTCTCTCCTGTTTCTCTTCAGTGACTATACAGATCCATTCACTCCGACACCAACAAGTACATATAAAAAGTTATTAATTACAATTCAGGGGACCACATAAACCAGATATTCTATGACATGACATTTTAACCAATGCAATGTAAAATACCTACCTCACACCAGGATAGAAAGAATGTACAATAGTGCCTGACTCTGACACATTGTCAACAAACATCACATCATTGCCGACTAATAAACTGACAATGCAATTATATGTAATCAGCCAAGTCAAAAAATGCAATAGGCTAAATCAACAAATAATACTAGTTAAATAACTGGATTAAATTAAAATGGTCTATAGTCAGCTGGTTAACTGTTAACAGTTCATGTTCTGAGTTGGGATAAACTTTCTTGGTTATTTAATGTGGTAACTTCAGCTATGCTAACTAATCTAGTATGAGACTAGCTAATGCTAACCTAATGCCAACTGCTTAGCAGGCAGGATTTCAGCTGTCACACACAAAAGATAAACTAAACAGAGAAATACTTCACAGAGAAAATAAAAACAGGCAATGAAGATATTATTACAGATTAAATTTTTTATGTCTTAAACATATTTATATGAGCAGTAATTAAATAAAAATGTTTTCTTTATTGTAGCTAACAGATAACACAAGGCATCCACAGGACAGACAAAGAAACAAAAGGGGTAGAGTACTACCCTTTGTCTTTTATTGTACATTGCATGGTCTTTGTAATGTCTTTGGCAAGAGTGACTTTCTGTGCAGTAGGTACCCTTGGTAACAATAGAAAATATAGCACACATTGTGGTTCCCTGTGTCTTTAAACAGTTCATATAGACTCGTAAATTTCAAATGTCCAAGGCAAAAGATAAACTCTGCACAGAAAAATGCATCTGCTGAAACTGGGCCGCAGTGGAAAAGGATCAAAAAAGCCAAATGTGAAAATACTGTGCATCAGCTGAAGGACATATATATGGTTACAGCAGTGGTGTTTCTTTAAAAAAAATTCTAATAAAAACTTTTATGAAACACTATTACAAATACTGTACATAGATGGGAGCCCTACAGTCAAAAAGAGATAAGGTACAGACTTGGGTCAACTGTAAATACTGAAGTTCAGAGGTTTGTTTTAAAATAAAATGATGAGAGCTGTGTCAATTGTGTTTAATGCAGACCTTGATGACTGACTCGGGTAAGAGGGACTCAACTTGACTCAACTCGAATTATTCTTTGGTGACTCAAGGCGTAGTGACTCCACACCACGCTGGCTGAATCATTCCATGTGCTCAACCTCATCTTACATAGGAAAAACAAACTACACAGAAGAACAAATGACCCATATCTGACAATAGGTTGACAGAGTCCCTGCTGTCCAAGTCTAAAAGATGCTGAAGTCTCCATAGGAAACAAGAACAATGGGCCTGTTGATAACAGCAAGTGAGCATCGCATTTTCCAGCACATGTACAGAAATAACAGAAGAAAAGATACCAGTGAATCATGGCTGGAGGGTTGTGTTTAGGTACTCCTCATTGATTCCTCCTGTCTGGTCAATCATTAGAAGTGATCAGGGCATGAGACTGAATGATCCTTCTCAGAGTATGGTGGTTGAGCCATGAGGGATGGCACTGCTTGGTGTGCCATTGATGGTGCTGAAGATGCCCACAGAGTCAGACGGGGTGCTCCTTCTGCCATCATCCACTGGATTTATCTAGAAGAAACAGACCGTTTGAAAGATATTTTCTTTCTCCAGTTAAAAAGTGAAATGCACACATGCAGTTTCAACACAGGGACTGTAGTAAAATTATTTAGAGGGGAGAGTTTTGTCTTGTTTTTTTAAAGCAAGAGGGAACTTTTTCCTGTCCCCGTTTTGCATTTTATGCCATTCTTCTCTTGGAAAACTATAATAAAAATACATTAAAAAGATCAAATAGTCACATAAAAAAGGCATCTGTGTGCACTCTGGGCCATATACTGTAGGTGTGTTTTTTGCAGAAAACACATCCTCTTATTTAATCATTAAAATTAATTGTAAGATTTGATTCCTTTAGGCTCTAGTTGCTTTAAGCTTTAGTTTCTTCTCATACCTTTAGTTCCCTTTAGTTACTTTTCAGGTCTTCATTTTCTTTATTTTTCATAACTTTATTTTCCTTGCTTATACATATTAAAACTGTATTGATGACTGCATACTTTCACCTAGAAAAACCATTCAACCTTTAAATGATTCAGCAACTCTTCAGCTATTTAACCTCTAGAGTCCTGAGCTTTGGAAACCCAAGCTGTGCGGTCCTCATATGAGGACGCAGGGACTCTAGAGGTTAAACATGTATTCAGCTTTCTTTTACAGTTGAATTCTGGCAGTTTATGTTTTATGGTGATTTTGGAAATTTCTCTGTTAGTGTGTCACATGACCCACACTCTAGCTCTGTCCTTCAGCCTTTTCACAATTTTTCAGCTTGTTTTCTGCTCTTATTCTGCCAACCGTATGCTTTCACACACAATTTATAGATGAAAATGATAGGAAAAATTGTGAGGAATCAGAAAATGGCCTTGTTATTGCGATAGGATGAACAGTTTTTGAATTACGTGGTACATTCCAGAGAGAGTGCCGCCTCACTCTGCCATAAACGACTATAGAAAAAAACGATTCAGAAAATCTCCTCAAAACAAAAGTTAGGGCATTTGTAAATCGCCACAGCTCCTTCATTTTCTGGAATATCTTGACATAAATTATGATCAACGTGATCAACATGTTCGTTGAAAGCTCCTGCTGCTCATACTGAAGAGATTTTTTCAATAGGACATAATCTTTTTTGATTGTCAACTGTTCGAAGCCCATGTTTGACTGAAATTTCCTGCAGTGTCCTCAAACTGCTGAATCACTTAACAATGCACCTGCTACTTTTACACACACAAACAGCAACAGAATAACATGCAGACACAAGATAAAACCCATATACAATCCAAACAATACAGTGATGTACAGTAACACACAGTGGTGCAGTGACACACCGACACACACACACACACACATAGAGACACAGACATGGACACAGAAACAGACACAGAGATAGAGACAGATTGGTTTGCCGTGAAAATAAGGCCCCAAAATACACCAAATTTTCAAAATAAAAGCTTCAGATTGCAAATTGTTTAATAAAAGCCCCCAAACATGCCAGAATTTCAAAATAAAAGCCCCTGAATGCAAAATAGGCTCACAAAAACCCCAAACATATGTTAGATTTTCACAGTAAAAGCTCTTGTTTACAAATTAGCCAACATGAGGGCCCAATAATATGCCAGAATTTTAAAATATAAGCTCCAAATTGTAACTTCAGCTCATCTGGAGGCTCCAAAATGAGACGGATTTTCAAAATAAAAGCCCAGCTTGCACATTAAGATTATATTAAATCCCCAACTTATGCCAGAATTTCAAAAGAAAAGCACAATTATAAATTAAGTTCACATTAGTGCCCCAAAACATGCACGATTTTTAAAAAACTTTTAAAAATCCAAACATTTAGCTTTTTTCCCGTTCAAATGAAAATCTACTTCAGCATACTTTCAGCTATTTCAGGTATAAAAATGTACAGCTCTTCAAGGACATTCATGCTTCTCTTCAGGATTTTTTAAACCTTATACCCTTGAAATATTTAGCTTTATTTTGAAAGTTTTGAACCATTCAAATGAATGGGGAAATTCTACTTCAGCATACTTTTAGCTATTTCAGCTATCAAAATGTTCAGCTTTTCAAGGACATTCATGCTTCTATTCACAATTATTCTAACCTTGATATTTTTGAAATATTTAACTTTATTTTGAAAATCTTGCCCCTATTAAATGAATGGGAAAATTCTACTTCAGCATACTTTCAGCTGTTTCAGCTATCAAAATGTTCAGCTCTTCAAGGACATTCATGCTTCTCTTCAGGATCTTTATAATCTTCATTCCTTTGAAATATTTAGCTTTATTTTGAAAAGTTTTACCCCATTTAAATGAATAGAAAAATTCTACTTCAGCATACTTTCAGCTGTTTCAGCTATCAAAATGTTCAGCTCTTCAAGGACATTCATGCTTCTCTTCAGGATCTTTATAATCTTCATTCCTTTGAAATATTTAGCTTTATTTTGAAAAGTTTTACCCCATTTAAATGAATAGAAAAATTCTACTTCAGCATACTTTCAGCTGTTTCAGCTATCAAAATGTTCAGCTCTTCAAGGACATTCATGCTTCTCTTCAGGATTTTTCTAAACTTCATACCTTTGAAATATTTAGCTTTATTTTGAAAGTTTTGCCCCATTCAAATGAATGGGGGAAATTCTACACTCAGCATAATTTCAGCTATCAAAATGTTCAGCTCTTCAAGGACATTCATGCTTCTCTTCAGGATTTTTCTAAACTTCATACCTTTGAAATATTTAGCTTTATTTTGAAAGTTTTGCCCCATTCAAATGAATGGGGGAAATTCTACACTCAGCATAATTTCAGCTATCAAAATGTTCAGCTCTTCAAGGACATTCATGCTTCTCTTCAGGATTTTTCTAAACTTCATACCTTTGAAATATTTAGCTTTATTTTGAAAGTTTTGCCCCATTCAAATGAATGGGGGAAATTCTACACTCAGCATAATTTCAGCTATCAAAATGTTCAGCTCTTCAAGGACATTCATGCTTCTCTTCAGGATTTTTCTAAACTTCATACCTTTGAAATATTTAGCTTTATTTTGAAAGTTTTGCCCCATTCAAATGAATGGGGGAAATTCTACACTCAGCATAATTTCAGCTATCAAAATGTTCAGCTCTTCAAGGACATTCATGCTTCTCTTCAGGATTTTTCTAAACTTCATACCTTTGAAATATTTAGCTTTATTTTGAAAGTTTTGCCCCATTCAAATGAATGGGGGAAATTCTACACTCAGCATAATTTCAGCTATCAAAATGTTCAGCTCTTCAAGGACATTCATGCTTCTCTTCAGGATTTTTCTAAACTTCATACCTTTGAAATATTTAGCTTTATTTTGAAAGTTTTGCCCCATTCAAATGAATGGGGAAATTCTACTTCAGCATAATTTCAACTATCAAAATGTTCAACTCCTCAAGGACATTCATGCTTGTCTTCAGGATTTTTTCTAAACTTCATACTTTTGAAACATTTAGCTTTATTGTGAAATTTTTGCCACATTCAAATGAATGGGAAAATTGTTAGATCAGCTTGAACACAGGGGTGAGCCAGTCACAAAAATATGATGGACCCAGGTGGCTGACTTCAGTGCAAGCAGTGCTAAGTTTAATTACAGTGAAATATAACAAGGAAATGAATAATCAGGTAGAAGTGGGACCGGGTGTCAAGCTGCAGAAGTGAATACAGTCAGTGGCTGAATGATGAGAAGACCGGGCTGCGGACGCTGGGACTCCCTCCTAGG